TTATCGCCGAATCGATGCCGATCGCTCAAGAAAAAGAAACTCGTACACCAGAAATCGGTGAAAAATCGGTGATCCCCGAGTCACAATCACTTGAGAGTGAATTATTAGACAAATCCTCTGAAAAGCCGAATCAAAAGAGAAAATCGGAAGAAAGAAAAATACCCACCGATAAATCGGCAATTCCAACGCCAAAGGCATTAGCTGAAAAATCGGGAGACACCGAGAGCCAAGCGATCTCAAATGGTGCGTCAGTGGCTCCCGTCGTCTGTCCAAAAACTGACGATTTTATTCAAAACGTAACAGATCCCATAAAAAATATCGAGAAACCGAAAAGTCCAACAGCCGATCGGTCTGACGATCGGACAGCTCTTCCTTCAGCGATCACCCGGAGGAAAACAAAGAAAATAAAGAAAAAGGATGTGAAGCTGGAGTCGCAAAAAATCGAAGGAATTCCAGAACCGATCGTTCAAAAATCGAGTTCCTGCTCGTCCGATCAAGAAAGCTTGCACACCTGGAATAAATCGTTTGCTGAAGTCGTTGGCAAGTCCCAGAATTCTTCCCCCATTGAAGATGACGTCGAGATCGTAAAACCAGCGCCTGTCCGTCCGGAGAAGGTTCAGGGAATTTCCAGGGGAATCTGTTCACTTCCTGAGGAAATTTCTGTTGCCAAGGACGAGAGAACAGCTGATGTCGTTGATAATCCAAAAGTTCCTTCAGAAATATTGACCTCTTGGGCTGATGAAGTTGAAGAATCCCCAGTGACTCGAGCAGATCGTCAATTCACAGAATTGGATGATGAAAATGACTCCTGGGCATCGATCGTCGCTAAAAATCAGATGAAATCGGTAGAGATGACACCGGAATGCCCTGTTATTAAAAAATCACAAGCTCCTGGGGATTTGCCTCCCCAGATTGTCGTGGAAGAGGTAGCGGCGCCTGAACCCATTGAAAATGTCGTGACAGTCGATGATCAGGGATTCATGGAGTTCGTGAATCGACGAGAGTTGCGATCTCGAAGATCGAGGTCTCGATCGAGAAGTATGAGAAGAGAAAATGCGTCGCAGACTCGAGAGAAGAGTTCAGAGGAAAAATTGAATCAGTCAGCATCAGAGAGGACTCCCGAAGATATTGTAATGGAAGTGAAACCTGAGAGAGAAAGCGAACGCGAGAAAAAGGGAAAAAGAGATGAAAGGGAAATACGAAAAGAAATCGAAAAGAAGAAACCTGAGGAGACAAAACCGAAAGCTGTGGAGATCCTGAAACGACAGGGAAAAAACAAGAAACAAAAGGGAAAGAAATCGGAGGAAGAAGATGTGAAATCCCCAGGGGAAATAAAAATAGAGCCATCCCCTGAGGATGTTAAAGAAATTCCACAGGAAACGGAACTAGAGGTTTCGCCAGGAAGTGCAAAATCGAAGAAGAAAAGATCTAAAAGATCGAGAGTTGAGAGTAAAACCGAAGTCTCCGAAGGAAAAACAGAAATGATTTCTCAAATTCCCGAGGAAGTCGATGCGAAGGAAGAGGTGAAAGTTGAAATTCCGTCGCAAAAGGAAGAGACTGCGGATACGAGGAGAACCAAGAAGAAAGATAAAAAAGAAGTTGTTCCTGTGGTGGAAGCTGTGGAAATTCTGCCGAAAAGTCTTCAAGGATCTGAACGGGATGAAAAGGGAGGGGAAGAGAAGATTGAAGGAACGACTGCGAAAGAACAAACACAAGAGAAAAACGGGAAGAAGAAGAATAAATCGAAGTTGAAAGGGCAAGGAGTAGAGGCTTCTAAAAAAATTCCTGAGGAGGTGTCTCCGGTCTCTAAGGATGCTGTGTCTCAAAAAACGAAACCGAAGAAAAATAAATCGAAGAAGTCGTCCGGTATTAAATCAGATGAAGTAGAAATCATTCCACAATCTAGTGAATCAGAAATAACGAGAGCTGAGAACTCAGAAGTTGA